TTGAGACACATTAGGAAGGTTACTATCTTAAAAATAAATAAGTGATGTGTTGACAAGGATGTGGACAAATTGGAACCCTTGTGCACTGGTCATGAGAATTTAAAATGGTGCAACTGCTATGGAAAATTGTATGGCAATTCCTCAGGAAATGAAACATATGATCCAGCAATTCCACTTCTGGGTATTTACCCAAAATAATTAAAGCAGAAACTCAAACACTTATTTGTACACCGATGTTCATAGCAGCATAATTCACAAAGCCAAATGATGGCAACAGCCCAAGTATCCATCAGTGGATGTACAAAATACTGTATATACATACAAAGGGATATTATTCGATGTTAAAAGGAAAGGAAATTCTGACACATACTACAACATGGCTCAACCCTGAAAACTTAAGTGAAATAAGTCACAAAATGACAAATAATGTGTGATTCTTATACGAAAGGGACACAGAAGGATACTTTTATGAGGTATCTAGAATAGTCAACTTTATAGAGACAAAGTATTAATAGAATGGTAGTTGCCAGGATCTGGGAGGAGGGGTAAATGGGGGAGTTACTGTTTAATGTGTACAGGATATCAATTTGGGAAGATGAAAAAAGTTTTGGAGATGGATGGTGATGATTGCGTAACAATGTGAATATACTTAATGCCACTGAACTGTGTACTTTCCAAAACAGTTAAGGCCAGGCATGGTGGCTCATGCCTATGATCCCAGCACTTTGGGAGGCTGAAGTGGGAGGATCTCTTGAGCCCAGGAATTCAAGGTTACAGTGAATCATGAATGCACTACTGCACTTCAGCCTGGGGGACAGAGTGAGACCTGCCTTTAAAACAAACAAAAAAAAAGGCCGGGCATGGTGGGTCAAGCCTGTAACCCCAGCACTTTGGGAGGCTGAGGCGGGCGGATCACGAGGTCAAGAGATTGAGACCATCCTGGCCAACATGGTGAAACCCCATCTCTACTAAAAATACAAAAAAAATTAGCTGGGCGTCGTGGCGTGTGCCTGTAGTCCCAGGTACTCGGGAGGCTGAGGCAGGAGAATTGCTTGAACCCGGGAGGCGGAGGTTGCAGTGAGCCGAGATTGCGCCACTGCACTCTAGCCTGGCACCTGGTGACAGAATGAGACTGTCTCAAAAAAAAAAAAAAAAAAATTACACTGGTGAATTTTATGTATGATTTACCACAATAAAAAGTTTTCAAAAACACTGACAATATTTGCAAAATGCATGTGACTTTCTATCTGATGTAATTCTTATCCCCGCTTATTTAAAGTTCAAAAATGTGACTTGATAGCCTCTAAACACTAAACAAAATTTTATTATTTTAAGCAGACTTGGAAGCATTTTTTTTTTTTTTTGAGATGGCGTCTTGCTCTGTCACCAGGCTAAAGTGCAGTGGGGTGATCTCGGCTCACTGCAGCCCCCTCCTCCCAGGTTCAAGTGATACTCCCGCCTCAGCCTCCTGAGTAGCTGGGATTACAGGCGTGCACCACCATGCCCTGGTAATTTTTTGTATTTTAGTAGAGACGGGGTTTCATCAAGTTGGCCAGGATGGTCTCGATCTCCTGACCTTCGGATCTGCCTGCCTCAGCCTCCCAAAATGCTGGGATTACAGGCATGAGCCACCATGCTCAGCCGGAAGCTTTTATACTTAAAGTAACTATAGAATAGAAAATCTGGCCCTCCTCCTTTTCCAAATGAATGCTTCTAGACCTGGATTTTTTAATGCTCCAGTGATTTCTGTTTATCTCAAGGAATGTCATAAGATTCTTAGAGCAATGTTAACTTTAATTTTTTTATTTTTTTGGAGACAGAGTCTAGCTCAGTCACCCAAGTTGGAGTGCAGTACAAGATCTTGGCTCACTGCAACCTCTGCCTCCTGGGTTCAAGCGATTCTCCTGCATCATTCTCCCAAGCAGTTGGGAGATAATACACCCGGATAATATTTGTATTTGTATAATATTTGTATTTTTAGTAGAGACCAGGAACCACCACGCCCAGCCAATTCACTTGAATTTTTAAAGCACATGCTATATTGTACTTTTTGCCACTTGGACAAGGGCTTAGTTTGTCATCCATATCAAGTTAACCTTTAAGCATATTCAGGCATGGTGGTGGGGTGCCTGTAATAATCCCAGCTACTCAGGAGTCTGAGGCAGGAGAATCACTTGAACCCAGGAGGCTGAAGTTGCAGTTGCAGATACAGAGATTGCACCACTGTACTCCAGTACTCCAGCCTGGGTGACAGAGCAAAACTCTGTCTTAAAAAAAAAGTAACAACAAGAACTCTGTTACCGAGCCTGGAGTGCAGTGCTGTGATGATAGCTTACTGGAGCCTCAAACTGAGTAGCTGGGAACTACAGGTGTATACCAGCATGCCTGGCTAATTTGTTTTGTTTTTGTTTTTGTTTTTGTTTTTTTTTTGAGACGGAGTTTCACTCATGTTACCCAGGCTGGAGTGCAATGGCGCGATCTCGGCTCACCGCAACCTCCGCCTCCTGGGTTCAGGCAATTCTCCTGCCTCAGCCTCCTGAGTAGCTGGGATTACAGGCACGCACCACCATGCCCAGCTAATGTTTTTGTATTTTTAGTAGAGACGGGGTTTCACCATGTTGACCAGGATGGTCTCGATCTCTTGACCTCGTGATCCACCCGCCTCAGCCTCCCAAAATGCTGGGATTACAGGCTTGAGCCACCGCGCCCGGCCTTGTTTGTTTTTTAATTCAGATGATGTTCTGCTCTTGTTGCCCAGGCTGGAGTGCAATAGCACGATCTCGGCTCATCGCAACCTCTGCCTCCCAAGTTCAAGCGATTCTCCTGCCTCAGCCTCCCGAGTAGCCGGGATTGCAGGTGCCCCACTACCATGCCTGGCTAATTTTGTATTTTTAGTAGAGATGGGGTTTCTCCATGATGGTCATGCTGGTTTTAAACTCGTGACCTCAGGTGATCCGCCCACCTCGGCCTCCCAAAGTGCTGGGATTATAGGTGTGAGCCGTCGTGCCCGGCCTAACCTAATTTTTAAAATTTTTGTAGTAACAGAGTCTCACTGTATTTCCCAGGCTAGTCAAACTCTTGGCCTCAAGTGATCCTCCCAAATGGTGGAATTACAGGCTTTAGCCATCATGCCTAGCCAAAGCTACCTTTTTTTTTCTTTGTTAAAATAGGGAGCCTATGTTGCCTAGGCTGGTCTTGAACTCCAGGCCTCTAGCAGTCTTTTCACTTCAGCCTCCCAAAGACATGGGATTATAGGCATGAGCCACCATGCCTAATCTTCCATTCACTTTTATTTCCACGATTCCCTGACCTATTTGCACAGGTGGCTTATGGTATGGTTTATCAGGCTTTAAGCAAACAACTTTCTGGTCTACTTCAAAACAAATATTTATCTTCTATAAGGCTGAGAAAAATTCTAGACAATAAATGCTTTCTAGCATTGCTGTGTTAAAAGAATTTTGTAATTTATTAGAATGAAATATGTAGAGTTCTAACATTTTTTAAATTTGTATTTTATTTTGCTTCTGTTTTTTTTTCCTAGAGATTTAACATTTTTCATTGCCATTTTTAGGTTTTATTAAATTATTTTATCTTTTTTTCTTTCATAACTGTAAAATACTTCATTAAGATCCTTTCCAGCAGGGGCTGGGTGTGGTGCTTCATGCCTATAATCCCAGCACTTTGGGAGGCTGAGGCAGGTGGATCACCTGAGGTCAGGAGTTGGAGACCAGCCTGGACAACACGGTGAAACCACATCTCTACTAAAAATACAAAAGTTAGCTGGTCGTGGTGGTGGGCGCCTGTAATCCCAGCTACTCTGGAGGCTGAGGCAGGAGAATCGATTGAACCCGGGAGGCAGAGATTACAGTGAGCTGAGATCATGCCACTGCACTCCAGCCTGGTCAAAAAAAATTAGCTGGGCATGATGACATGTGCCTGTAGTCCCAGCTGTTCGGGAGGCTGAGGTGGGAGAATCATCTGAGCCTGGGGGATGGAGGCTGCAGTGAGCAATGACTGCTGGGCAACAGGAGTGAGACCTTGTTTTAAATTTTAAAAATCCTTCCCATCCAAGCATATATATCATCCTAGTACTTCGGGAGTCTGAGGCAGGAGGATTGCTTGAGCTCAGGAGTTCAAAACCAGCCTGCGCAACATAGGGAGATCCTTTTCTCTACAAAAACATTTAAAAATTAGCCAGGCTCGATGGCATGTGCCTGTTGTCTTAGCTACTCAGGAGGCTAAGGTGGAAGGATTGTTTCAGCCCAGGAGATCAGGGCTGTAGTGAGCTGTGATTGTGCCACTGCACTTCAGCCTGCATGACAGAGTGAAACCCTGTCTCTAAACAAAACAAAACAAAAAAAGATCCTTCCCCTACCTTCTTTCTTTTGATAATTGGAGGTGGGAAATTTTTTTTTTTAACTTAAAAACAGTAAGAAATTATTTATCATTCTTTGATGTAAGTAATTGAACTTGGACAGCATCTGTATGTACATTATCAAGTAAAACATTTTTTTCCAATGTGTTTTATATGGGCAGTATTATATTCACAAATTGCTCAAGCATTTTGTGTGTTAGTTCTAAAGAACTGCCTTTGTGTTTGGGTGTATATATACACATAGTCAATTATTTGTATGCTAAAATCAAGAGCAACTACTTTCTCAGACTGGCCAGGTACAATGGCTCACACCTGTAATCCTAGCAATTTGGAAAGCCAAGTGCTTGAGCCCAGAGTTTGAGACCAGCCTGGGCAACATGGTGAAACCCTGTCTCTACAAAAAAAATTTGAAAATTAGCCAGGTATGGTGTCAGGCGCCTGTAGTCTTAGCTGCTCAGGAGCCTGATGTGGGAGGATCACCTGACCCCAGGAAGTTGAATCTGGGTGAGCAGTCATTATGGCACTGCTCTACAGCCTAGCTGACAGTGAGACCCTGTCTCAAATAAATACAAATAAATAAAGCTCAACTTATGCAATAAAATTTGTCTTTCTCTCTTCTTTTTAGGATATTTTCTTTTCTAGATGTTGTTACCCTGTGTCGCTGTGCTCAGGTCTCCAGGGTAAGTATGGTTGGCATAGTTACAAGGGGACCCTTCACACTGATAACAGGCTCTTTCATAGGCTACCCATTTATTTTAGGTGTTACTTGTATGTTTTCATGTTTCAAGGGATATTACTTCACTAATGACATACCAGACATAATTTTATGATGGGATTCTACTATATATACTGACTCTGACTTTTTGTATCTCTTATTTGCATAATATAAACAAGAAACATTTTCGATGAAAAAGCAATAAACATGTATATTAAAAGTTTAGACTTGACTCAGTTGTGATGACATCTTGTTTTATTATGTTTTTCTAGTTCATTTTATACAAACACAACACACATATACACAACTCTTGTTTCCAGGAGGGTTGGAAAAAACAACACTTCAGGGATTAATTCTTGTGTTATTTCCCTGTATTCTTCAAGAGATGATAGCTAGAAGCAAAAAAAAAAAAAAAAAAGTTGCAGAGCAAACCAGACTTCGTTTCCAAAGTCTGTTTCTACATTACACTTCACCATTTTTGTCAGTTGACATTGCTGAGACAAAATAGCAAAACATCATAAACTTATTTTTTCTTATTTTCTGTCCACAACAAAAGCCACATTCAAAAAACTATACCCCTGAACTCCTGGGCTCAGGTGATCCTCCTGCGTCAGTCTCCCAAGTAGCTGGGATTACAGATGTATGCTACCATATTTGACTAATTTTTTTACTTTTTTAGAGATGAGATCTCACTGTGTTACCCAGGCTGGTCTCAAACTTTGGGCCACAAGTGATCCTCTCGACCTGGCCTTCCAAAGCACTGGGATTACAGGTGTGAGCCACCATGCCCAGCTTCCCAAGTGTCCTTTTATGTTGTCACTGTTGCCTAGGCTAGAGTGCAGTGATTCAAATATGGGTCACTGCAGACCTCCTTGGCTCAAGCTGCCTGTACTGCTTCAGCCTCTCATGTAGCTGGGACCACAGGAGCTTGCCGCCATGGCATGCCTTTTTTTTTTTTTTTTTTTTTTTGGTAGATCCTGGGTCTCACTTTGTTGCCCAGGCTGATCTTGAACTCCTGGTTCAAGCAATCCTCACACCCCAGCCTCTGAAAGTGCTGGGATTATAGGCATGAGCCACCATGCCCAGCTTCAAGTGTCCCGTTAAATCACTGCCTTAATCACTACCACCATGCCAAAAAAAAGGAAAACTTAACAGAAAATTCAGGCTGGGCATGTGGTGGCTCACACCACCCAAAACTTTAAGAAGTAGAAATGGGAGGATTGTATAAGATCAGCCTGGCAACATATGAGACCTTGTCTCTATAAAAAAAAAATAATTAAAAATTAGCTGGATGTGGTGATGCGAACCTGTAGTCTCAGCTATTTGAGAAACTGAGATGGGACAATCCCTTGAACCCAGGAGGTTGAGGCTGCTGCACTGAGCTAAGATTGTGCTACTTCACTCCAGCCTGGGTGACAGAGTGAGACCCTATTTCAGAAAAAGGCTGGGCACGATGTAATCCCAGCACTTTGGGAGGCTGAGGCGGATGGATCACGAGGTCAGGAGTTTGAGACCAGCCTGGCTAACATGGTGAAACCCCATCTCTACTAAAAATACAAAAAATTAGCTGGGCATGGTGGCTTGCATTTGTAATCCCAGCTGCTCTGGAGGTTGAGATAGGAGAATCGCTTGAACCCAGGAGGTAGAGGTGGCAATGAGTGGAGATTGCATCATTGCACTCCAGCCTGGGTGACAGAGCAAGACTCCATTAAAAAAAAAAAAAAAAAAGGCCAAGTGCAGTGGCTCATGCCTGTAATCCCAGTACTTTGGGAGGTTGAGGTGGACAGATCACTTGAGGCTAGGAGTTGAGACTGGACTGGCCAACATGATGAAATCCCATCTCTATTAAAAATACAAAAAAAATTAGCCAGGCATGGTGGTGCACACCTGTAATCCCAGCTACTCAGAAGACTGAAGCATGAGAGTTGTTTGAGCCTGGGAGGCAGAGGTTGCAGTGAGCCAGATCACACCATTGCATTCCAGCCTGGGCAACAGAGCAAGACTCTTTGTCTTTAAAAAAAAAAAAAAAAAAAAAAAAAATTCACCTTGTCTTGGTAACTTTATTTTTTGCATCCTAAAAGCTGTACTAAATTGGTATCAGCTCTTTTAGAAACAGCCTTTGATTATTTCTTTTATGGCATTTCTATCCCTATTACTTGTATGGTCTCTCTAGACGTAGGCATTAAACTTCCAATTCAGTGTGTTTTCCATTCTGTCTCCATATGAAACCAAGGTCACCACTGAGAAGCAAAGTACTCAGACCAGTGTCTAAACCTGTTTAGTTGCAGAGTCTCACCCCAGGAATGTTTATTTGAAATAGTTGTAATTGTTTCTGTTCTTCAATTTTAAATATATTTTTACAGTTTTTTGATTTATAGAGATAGGTTCTCTTTATGTTGCTCAGACTGGTTGGATCTCCCAAGCTCAAGCAATCCTCCTGTGTTAGCCTCCCAAAGTGCTGGGTTACAGGCATGAGCCACCTTAAATATTGTTTTATAAGTTTTTCTTCCTTCTTAATATGTGTTAACTTTTAAAGAATGGAAGGTGTAGCTGGGCACAGTGGCTGACACCTGTAATCCCAGCACTTTGGGAGGCCGAGGCAGGCGGATCACCTGAGGTCAGGTGTTCAAGACCAGCCTGGCCAATATGCCAAAACCTTGTGTCTACTAAAAATACCAAAAAAAAAAAATTATTTGGGCATGATGGTTCATATCTGTAATCCCAGTTACTCAGTCGGCTAGGGCACAGGAATCAGTTACACTTGGGAGGCCAAGGTTGCAGTGAACCAAGATTACACCACTGCACTCCAGCCTGGGCAACAGGATAAGACTCTGTCTCAAAAAAAAAAAAAATTAAAAATGGAAGGCACAATGAAAATTTTTTTTTTTTTTTTGTTTCTTTTTTGAGTCGGAGTCTCGCTCTTGTTACCCAGGCTGGAGTGCAATGGCGTGATCTCGGCTCACTGCAACCTCCACCTCTTGGGTTCAAGCAATTCTCCTGCCTCAGCCTCCTGAGTAGCTGGGACTACAGGCACGCACCACCATGCCCAGCTAATTTTTTGTAGTTTTGGTAGAGACGGGGTTTCACCATGTTGATCAGGATGGTCTCGATCTCTTGACCTCGTGATCCACCCGCCTCGGCCTCCCAAAGTGCTGGGATTACAGGCTTGAGCCACCGCGCCCGGCCCTGTTTTGTTTTTTAAATGTAGACTCTAGAGAGGACTCTGTCATTCCTAATTTTAGTCTGAGTTCTAGATGTTTTCCTGCTTGCTATAGAAAGTAGTATAAGGAAACAAGAAATATTATACCAAATCAGAGGTATGTTTAGCCTATGAATCTATTAAACATGTGGTCTTTAAAAATTTTATCTATTTCCTCTACGGCTAGTCATTTAAGAAACCACTGGAAAAAGCCATAAAAATAAAAATAATGTCAAACATCTGAGAAAACTTCAGACATTTCTAGAATGGTAACTGCTTGCTTACTGTCATACCCCTGGCATCTTTCTTGCTGGTTGTGTGACAGTAATTACCCTGGGGCTTATAAGTATATCCAGAATTTCCTTTTAAACATTTCAGAGCGGTTCGGTACCGTGGTGGCTCGTGCCTGTAATCCCAGCCCTTTGGGAGGCCGAGGTGGGCAGATCATGAGATCAGGAGTTTGAGACCAGCCTGACCAACATAGTGAAACCTTGTCTCTACTAAAAATACAAAATTAGCCATGCATGGTGGCGCATGCCTGTAATCCCAGTTACTCAGGAGACTGAGGCAGGAGAATTGCTTGAACCTGGGAGGCAGAGGTTGCAGTGAGCTAAGATTGTGCTATTGCACTCCAGCCTGGGCAACAAGAGCAAAACTCTGCCTCAAAACATAAAATAAAGATTTCAGAGAAATTATAATGTCTTTTTTTTTTCTCTTTTTGAGACAAAATCTTTCATTGCCCAGGCTGGAGTGCAGTGGCACGGTCTCAGCTCACTGCAACCTCCACCTCCCAGGTTCAAGCAGTTCTCCTACCTTAGCCTCCTGAGTAGCTGGGATTACAGGTACCTACCATCAAGCCTAGCTAATTTCTCTACTTTTAGTAGAGATGGGGTTTTACCATGTTGGCCAGACTGGTTTCGAACTCCTTAGGTGATCACACCGCCTAGGCCTCCCAAAGTGCTGGGATTATAGGCACCAGCCACCATGCCTGGCCGATAGTGTCTTTTCTAAGTCCTAAATCACCATATCACAGTTATAAGTCCTACTAGGTGATAGGATATGGGTAGCAAATAAATTAGAAGTAAGGCTGGGCCTGGTATATTACAGGTGTGAGCCACCACACCCAGCCAATAGTATCTTATTCTAAGTCCCAAATCACCATCTCACAGTTGTAAGTCCTACCAAGTGATAGGATATGAGCAAATAAATATTGAACCAAGGCTGGGCTTGGTGGCTCACACTTGTAATCCCTTTACTTTGGGAGGCCAAGATGGGAGGATTGCTTGAGGCCAGAAGTTCAAGACTAGCCTGGGCAACATAGGGAGACCCTATCTCTACAGAAAATGTAAAAAATTAGCCAGATGTGGTGGTGCATGGCTGTGGTTCCAGATACTTGGGAGGCTGAGGTGGGAGGATTGCTTGAGCTGGGGGGTCAAGGCTGCAAGTAAGCCATGATTGAGCCACTGCACTCCATCCTGGGTGACAGAGTGATACTGATACCCTGTCTCAAGAAATACATCTCTCTCTGTATATACATACATACATACATACACACACACACACCCCTTTCTGTCTATATAAAAACATAGAGAGAGTGAGAATAGAGCAGTATTCAGAGTACTGTCCTATTTGATGTTTGGTTTTACCCTCATCTTTTTGAGGTTTAAGAACAGAAGAGGCCGGGCGCGGTGGCTCAAGCCTGTAATCCCAGCACTTTGGGAGGCCGAGGCGGGTGGATCACAAGGTCAAGAGATCGAGACCATCCTGGTCAACATGGTGAAACCCCG